AAGTGGGCTGTAGCCCACGAAAGCTTATGCTCTAATAAATTTGTTAGTCTCTAAGGTGCCAAAAGTACTCCTGTTCTTTTAGTGATTTTTGGGTGCCCCAGTGTTTAGGTGCCCAAGTAGAGGCACCTGAAAGGAACTCAATTGACAGAGGCCCCAGTAATTTTGGAATCAGATCCCTTTAAGGTTTCTCAAGTTGATCCCCCAAAATCACTAGTTGCTTTTGAGAATGTAGGCCATTTTGTCTGGCAGGGAAGTGTCTGTATCCAGAAGAGGCTTCTGGGCCAGCTGAAAAACCAGCTGACATCAGGTATTGCAGAAACAAAGCGCCCAGTGCCAGAGGACTTGACTTCAAACACTGCTCCTGGTGTGTATGGATCAAGAACCAAGTCACTTTCTAATGGCAGTCCTCTGAAAACAGGCCCCAGGTCAGCACATTTTAAGGGATGTGAATTTTTACCAGCCAGAGGCAAGGCTTCAGAAAGTGGCATGAGCATTCAGAAATCCTGTACCCAAGTAACTCTAGAGAAGTAAGCAATCATCATTTTGCACGAGCCACTTGAGTTAAAAATATTCTTATGAGGAGACAATGGGTTATGTCCGAGGCAGAGGAAGAACAAGAAAACTTCACCCAGTGAAGTAATCCTCCACAGGAGGATTTTATTGTTTTGCAGCTAAAATTAAAGCAGGAAATTATTCAATATAATGTTGATGTCAACAGCTGTTGCCATTCAAAATGAGACCTTTTGCTGTTTTTGCAAATCTAATTACAATAGAGCCATTAGGGAAATGAAAGCGAGATCGCAGAGACACAGCCAGGATCTGTTGCAGATTCGTCTTCCTCTCAGCCCTTTTAAATCAGAGTTATGCAATTTTTAAAAAAAATGAAGGCGAACAGGATAGGAAGAAACACTATGAAGATAGAAACTTACCTCAGGAGCAGGGTTTCCAATGATGGCTTTACTGGACTATGGAAGTGTCATTCCGATCAACTCCTTCTATGTCTAGATCAGTGGTTCCCAAACTTTAACAACCTGTGAACCCCTTTCACTAAAATGTCAAGTCTTGTGAACCCCCTCCTAAAACTGAATATTTCCAGGGATTTTCTCCCTTACCTCAGCATAAATTATAAAAGCAGTGATCTTGGAAATATAAAATTTGCATTTATGATGTGTTTATTACACACTATTTATTAATTATTTATCATTACAGTATTTTTATTACATTATGAAAATGGTAACACTCTTCCAAGATCTCACTTTTGTAGCTTGGATCTCTTTTGATTAAGGCTGTTATAAGACAAGGCTCCTATCAGAGGCACCAGTAGAAAAAAGAAGTGAGGGGGCAAAGCCCCTGTGCACCCCAGGACCGGGGGGGCACCACCGGAAAAGTAGGTGTGCCCGCGAGGGCTACTGGAAAAAAGGGGAGGGACCCACGGGGGGATGCACCGACGCGGGGGCAGCCCGTGACCCTTGTTGCCCCCCCCCCCGCCTCCCGTCGTACTGGCGCCTCTGGTTCCTATGTTTCATCAAGGAGTATCAGATGTGAAACAGCAGGAAGGTATTTAAGACGCCAACTCAAAGAGTTCCTCCTACACAAGCATTCAAGTCTTGAGCAGTCCAGGCAAACAATGCACGTTACAATAAAGCTTAAACTTGTTCTTCATAATCATTTAAAAACAACACTAGCAGCCTGTTTAATTTTAAAAACAGCAAAAAATATCCACCTCCCTTTCCATTTCTTATAAGGAGCCTTGAAGTTTAAATCACTTCAGTGTGATAGATGTGCTTGCTTTGATCTGCTTAGCTCTTGGAAGTCCCCAAGGCTCTGGGCTGCTGGCCCCAGGCTGCCGGGGTCCCTATGGACAGCTCTTTCCGCCATTAGGGAATTTTTTCCCGAGAATCCCCTGTAACATTTCATGAACCCCCAGGGGTTCATGAACCCCAGTTTGGGAACCACTGGTCTAGATTCTACATTTACAGACTGCCCTGAGCAGGGGGTCACATGGAGCTGCATTGGCCCAAGAGCAGACTAGAAATTCACACTTCTGCCTCTGCTCCACCCTTTTTCAGCGGCAGACGTAGGTAATTTCAGCTCAGTCACTTCTGTATACCCAGCCAGCTAATCAGGCCCTGGAAATGGACCTGATTAGCTAGCTGGGTATACCTATTATTCAGAGCAAGGAGTATTGAACCAATGGGCCCCTGTTTTCCCCATTATGGCTAGAACAGGACAATATGCGGGTAGGGGAAAAGGGAAATTACCCCTGTGCAGCTGAGGAATGACTGTGCCAATCTAGCCCTTCGGGTTCTTAAACAACTAGAAAGAAGCAAGCCATTGGGATTTTGCAGGGCTCTAAGCAGCTGAACTTTGAATTGATAATATTCACTGGCAGCTCTTGGATGAATGGAGCCACAGCTCCTCGTGCATTGGGTCTTTGTGTTGTCGTTTGATACTTTAACCTTCGGCTTTCCCCTCATCCAGCAGCATCCGTGCTGCCAGGGCTCATTAGACGAATAAATATGTCACCTTACCAGGATATGCCAGTCTGCGGATGAACGGCAGACACCCGCAGTGATGGTACCAAAATGTTTTCCTCTACGGTCCCTGAGTAACATGCACACAGAGGTATGGTTGGTCTCTAGAGCAGGTAGGTTAGCTTTGGCCAGTCAAATGCTAGGTCTAGTGACATCCTCATCCCCTTTTTATAAAAGGG